TAGTGTCATTAAGATGATTATCATAAGTAGAGAAAAGAGGTATCATACTCCCAAACTTCAAGCTACACTACAAAGCCATAATAATTAAAACAGTTTGGTATTGGAACAAGAACAGACACAGACCAATGGAACCGAATAAAGAGCCCAGAAATAAAGCCACACTTATATGGACAACTGATCTTTGATAAGGGAGCAAAGAATATGCAATGGAACACAGACAGTTTGTTCAATAAATGGTGCTGGGAAAACTGGATCACCACATGCACAAAAATGAAACTAGACCACTACCTCTCACTGTCCACAAAAATCAACTCAAAACAGATCAAAGAACTGGACATAAGACCTGAAACCATAAAATATATAGAAGAAAATATAGGTAAAACACTACAAGACATACATCTCAAAAACATTTAAAGACTCATCACCAAAGCAAAGAAAGTCAAGGAAAAGATAAACACCTGGATTATATTAAACTGAATAACTTCTGTCCAGCAAAAGAGACATTAACCAAAACAAAGAGACACCCTACTGATTGGGAAAAAAATCTTTGCACTCCATACAACTGATAAGGCATTGGTCACAAAGATATACAAAGAATTCACACTACTCAACAACAAAAAAAGTAAACAATCCAGTCAAGAAATGGGCAGAAGAACTTAAAAGACATTTCTCCAAAGAGGAAATGCAAATGGCCAACAGGCATATGAAAAAATGTTCAACATCCCTTATTATCAGGGATAATAAGTGATTAACAGTGATCTGTGTTTACCATATTCAGCAAGTGCTTCCCATTCTGGGTCAAAGATCAATTTTTTTTTTAAGATTTATTTGATTCACCAGAGACAGAGTGGGGAACAGAACACGCAGACTGACTGAAATACACTGCTGAGGGGAGCAGCGGGCGAAACAGGACAGAGGTCTGCTGCGCCATGTGGGTTGCTCCCTGGCCAGCTGAGGTAGATTCTTAGGAGTTTATTCCCTTACCTTTTATTTTTTATTTATTTATTTTTTTAAAAGTTTTTTTTAAAAGATTTATTTATTTATTTATACAAGCACTGGGTACAGTCAGAAGCGCAGGAGGGTGAGAGAATTCACCAGAGCCAGAGCAGGGAGCAGAGCAGGCAGAAGGACCGAAGTACACTGCTGAGGGGAGCAGCGGGCGGCAGGAGAGGTCTGCGCACCATGTGGGACCCTCCTCCAGTGGCTGGGGAGCAGCCGGGGATCGAACCGGCACTGCAGAGGCTGCAGGCAGCTTTGCAACCCAGCGCTCAACCGCTGTGCCACCGGGGAGGCCCTCCCTTACCTTTTAAATAAAGTTTTATCTAAATATATGTAAGGGCCTCCCTGGTGGTGCAAGGAGTTAAGCACTGCACTATGAAGCAATCCACAGCCTCTGCAGCACGAGTTCGATCCCTGGCCCTCCAGGGAGCAACCCACATGGTGTAGCAGACCTCTCCTGACTTGCCTGCTGCTCCCTGCAGCAATGTACTTTGGTCAATCTGCCTGTTCTGTCCCCCCCCCCCCTCTGGTGAATCCTCTCACCCTCTGCATCTCTAGCCTGTACCCCAGCTCTGTATGCATAAATAAATAAATCTTTTTTTAAAAAAATTGAAAATAAAATAAATAAATATAAACCAAACAATATATTATTTAATTTAGTTGTTTTAAGTTTCATAACAAGGCTATATTGTGTACTCTCAATCTTGAAAAATATTTTAGCTAGGTGTAAAGTCATAGACTGGCAGTTATTTTATCTCAAGATGCTTATAATTCCACTAGATTTTGGTTTCCTTTTGAAGCCTAACTCTTGTTCTTTTGAATAAAAAACGCTCAGTCACTTTTGAGATTTTCTTTTTTTTTTTTTGAGATTTTCTTTTAATATTTGTTGTTCAAAAGTTTTAATACCACAAGTCTAGGTACAGACTTCTTTTTATTTATCCTTTTAATATCATATTTTTTGATTCTGTGGTTTGATATTTTTCTTCCAGCATGCAAATCCTCAGCTCATTCTTTCTCTCTTTCTGAGTCAAGATATCTTATTATAACTTCTTCTCATCCATATTTTCCATCTTTTCATCTCTCTGCACTACATTCTGGATAATTTCTCCCGACTTATCTCTTGTTAACTAATTATCATTTCCTCTTTGTCCAGTGTGCTACTAAATATGTCCACTAAATTTCTAATTTCAGGTATTGAGTTTTTTATCTCTGAAAATTCTATTTGGTTCTCTTTCAAATTTGCCAGATTATTTTCTCTGTTTTTTGGTTTCTGCATATATTTCAATATTACTTTTACTTATTTAAATATAATAATCAAAGGAAATTCTGACACATTCTACAACATAGAACATCAAAGACATTATGCTAAGTGAAATAAGCAAGTCACAAAAAGACAAATTCAGTATTATTCTACTTTACTACTCTGGATGTGATCTCCAGATATATGATATATCTAGAGTAGTAAAATTCATAGAGATAGGAAGCAAAATAGTGGTCCCCAGAAGTTAGGGGTGGAGGGGTCATAGGAAATTATGTTTTAATGGGTATAGAGTTTCAGTTTTGCAAATTGAAAAGTTCTAGATTTTGGTTATCAACAATATATAGTTAACACTATTGAATTATACACTTAAGATGTAAATATGGGGCCTCCCCTGGTGGCGCAGCAGTTGAGCACTGGGTTGCGAAGTTGCCCGCATCCTCTGCAGCACCGGTTCAATCCCTGGCTGCCGGCAACGGTCCCACATGGCGTGCAGACCTTTCCTGCCGTGCCTGCTGCTCCCCTCGGCAGTGTATTTCGTCAGTCTGCCTGTTCCGTTCCCCCTCTGGCTCTGGTGAATTCTCTCACCCTCCCGCGCTTCTGACTGTACCCAGTGCTTGTATGAATAAATAAATAAATCTTAAAAAAAAAATGTAAATGTAATGTTATATATAGTTTGCCAATGTTAAAAATGACATTAAAATTAATGCAAAAATTGTAGTAATCATAATGTAGTAATCATAACTGATGCTGTTGCAATTGTTTCTGCTATTGTATTTGATGGTTCTTACAATGCCTTGTTCCCAATGTGCTTGATTACTTTTTTTTTAAAAGATTTATTTATTTATTTATACAAACACTAGGTACAGTCAGAAGCGCGGGAGGGTGAGAGGATTCACCAGAGCCAGAGCGGGGAGCAGAACAGGCAGAATGAGGAAACACACTGCCGAGGGAAGCAGCGGGCAGCAGGAGAGGTCTCCTGCGCCATGTGGGACCCTAGCCAGGCAGCTGGGGACGAACCGGCGCTGCAGAGGCTGCAGGCAGCTTCGCAACTCAGTGCTCAACCACTGTGCCACCGGGGAGACCCCATGCTTGATTACTTTTTACTGTGTTCGAGTCACTGAAAAATTACTGGTGGAGATTCTTCAAGGGCTAGCACAAAGATGTGTTCCTCTAGGAGGAATTTGAGTTTGCTTTTGCCAAGAACTTAGAGACCCATTGGGAATTAGTTTAAACTAGATTTATTACTTAAAAGCATTTTAACTACTTGATGTAATTTCAACTACAAATCCACAGAAAGGTTAGCTATGATTACAATGTCTCAAGGAGAGTTTTCTCCCCATATATTCAGGGTACTAATAAATCAGCTTCCCCATGTCTCTTGGAAGAAAGATATGGGGACAGGTTTACTTCTGACTCACTTTTCTCTAATCATGGATCTTTGGAAGACCACAGCAAATACAAAGTCCCTCTAGTAGACGCCCCACCCTAATGAGCCCCAAATTTTGACTTCCTTCCTTTACCCTAAAAAACTCTCATGATGAAATTCAAACTTTTCCAAATAGACACTCCCCCCAGAGAAAAACTGACTTCTATGCTTGCTTAGCTCTCCCAGTTCCTGACCAACTTGCTACTAAAAATAATGAAAAATGCTGGATAACCTAACCAAATAACCTAACCAATCTGAAATCGAGCTACTATATCTTTATTTCCTTTTCTTTTATTTCTGCTTTTTTATTTACTTTCTTTCTCCTGCTTTTTTATTATTCTTATTGTTGATTAGTTGCCTCCCAACTTCCCAAGGAGAACACTTAGCCCTTATTGCTTTTACTTTTCTATTAAAAGTTTCTTCTGTCTTAAGGTTCTATATTTCCCTTAATGTATACCTTTCACTGTATTCCTTAAGCTTTAGTGTATAGTAAAACAAGTGTCCACTCATTCTCATGAACTCCTCACCCTAATGGGTCTATTCTGCTGGACTGATTTTTCTCCTGAGATACCTGTATGAAGGCTGCACAAATACAGCTAATTTTCACTCTAGCAAGGGGCAAGAATGATTGCCAAGACAGTGCTAGGAGAGGTAAGAACATAAATTTAAAACACATTTTTCCACTCAGGGTTTTCCAATACTGGCTACATATGAAAACCAGGGCCTCCCTGGTGACACAAGGGGCTAAGTCTCAGCACTTTGAAGCTATGCACAGCCACCCGCAGCAAAAGTTCGACCACCAGACAGGAAGCTAAACTACATGGCACAGCACACCTCTCCTGCCTCGCCCACTGCTCCCCTCAGCAGTGTATTTCAGTCAATCTGCCTGTTCTGCTCCCCACTCTGTCTCTTGTGAATCCTCTCATACCTCCCCATGGGTATGAGACCTGTACCCCAGTTCTTGTATGCATAAATAAATAAATCTATTTTTAAAAAAGGAAAATCAGTAGGAAGTTTTGGAAAACATTGTCTGGGTCCTACTCATTGACCCAGAGTGGGGTGTGAGCATAAGTACTTTCTGTGATTCTCATGTGAAACCAAGGCTGAGAATCCTTCTCAAAATTATCTGCTCACTGCCCCAGACTGCCCACTCCTACCTTCAGTCAACTTTGAAAAATCTGTCTTTCCGAAGCCATTATTTCCTGGTTTCCATATTTCTATCATTTCTACAGAGTGAATTGGGGGAAGGACAGCCTGGTAATTTACCACGTTGACTGGAACGAGAATCCCCCCTCATATTGTTTGTTTTCACAGGAGGTCTCAGTATGAAACAGAAGCACTGGTGTGGGATGACTTCCAGAATGGGCACCGTGTTATCAGGGGTCTTTACCATCATGGCCACCCAAATGTACCTCATCTTTGAACGGAAATTCTTAAGAAATGACAATTGTGAGGAAAATGACCTATGGGCCAAGAGTATAAGCAACATGATAAATAAGCTCATCATCTGCTGGAGTTGGAAAATTGTCTTCTTTCTGTCTGTAATCACCATCCTCATCAGCTGCTTCCTCCTGTACTCAGTGTATGCCCAATTCTACAGGGGCTTGCTGCTCTACATCATCTGGATCCCTGTTTATGAAACTGTCAACATTGTAATACAAATCCTTACTAACAGAGACTCTGACATTGCAGAGGTCAGAATCATACGCTGGTTTGGCTTGGTGTCACGTGTATTCCTACACTGTTTCTGGATATTCTTTGTCATCAACGAAGCCTACACAATCTACAAAATCAAAAGCCAGGGCAGCATACTTTCCTACAACAGACGTGTTTCTATGGTCAATGGAGAGTTCTCACATTGGAAAACAAAGAAAATCAACTTTCCTCTCCACCATTAATGAATAATGTTTGGGCCTTTCATCTCCCCTGAGAGGCATCTCTCTGAAGTTCTCTTGTCAGTTCTTTCCTTTCCCACATTTGCTGAGATGCTCAGCTGCTACAGACCCTCTGGCCCTCCTTTCAAGGGAATGTGGAAAAAAATGTAACTGTAATCACGACTGGAACGTCCTACTAACAGAGGGGTTTAATTAAAAGACTGTTATTTATCAGTCACTCCTTGAGTTCTTCTTTCCTTTTCGGGTCAATACCACGTTGTTGGTGAAAATGAAGAGGGCAAGGGAATGAAACTTGGTATGTCTTCATCAGCCTTCACCCCACAGCCCACTTAGTTAATTCTGGTGCAGGCAAATCTGTATTTACACCTCAGATATTTGTAGCTCAGAAATCTGAAATCGAGCTACTATATCTTTATTTCCTCAGATATTTGTAGCTCAGAGGATACTTTTGATGTGTTGAGTGGCTCTGTGCTATAGTTTCCCACCCCCCTATAGGGTTGGGAATACAGTCCTCTATGCTGTATTCCAGATAAGTACAAGAATAAAAGTAGAAAAAAAATATTCTTCAATTTCTGTCTTGAATCTCCCCTCCTTCAAATTTGTCAAGGAACACAAAAGGTACTTGGTTAATCTAAAGGTATTTCTTAAAATTGTGCTGGACACTGTAGGATACAAAAAAATATATAAGATATAAGGCCTGGGCCTCCCTGGTTGCGCAGGCGGTTGAGCACTGCACTGTGAAGCTGTCCGCAGCCTCTGTAGCACGGGTTTGACCCCGGCCGGCCGGCGAGAATCCCACATGGTGCAGGAGACTTCTCCTGTCTTGCCCGCTGCTCCCCTCAGCAATGTATTTCTTCAGTCTGCCTGTTCTGCTCCCTGCTCTGTCTCTGGTGAATCCTCTCACCCTCCCGCGCATCTGGCCTGTATCCCGGTTCTTGTATAAAAATAAATAAATCTTTTAAAAAAAGATATAAGGCCTTGAGGATTTTGCCTTTTAAAGAAGAAATTAAATTACTGTTAATGAATCAATTAGCCAACCATGGAAGACAGTATGAGATTACACATTATCACAGAGCAGTGAACTATACTTTGCCTCCAGGGTCAGAAAAATGTCAGGAGCTCTTTAAGGTAGGATGGAAACAAACTGAGCAAACTTCTCCTGCAAACATTACATGTTAAGCTTTGTCTGTTGGTTTGATACCTTCATTAAGATATAATTGATATACAATAAACTGCACATATTTGAACTACATATATTTGTTACGTTTTTGCTATTGGGGTCTCCCTGGTGGTGCAAGGGGTTAAGACTCAGCACTATGATGCTGTCTGCAGTCACTGCAGCACGAGTTCCATCCCCAGCCAGGGAGGTGACCCACATGGCGCAGCAGACCTCTCCTGACTCTCCTGCTGCTCCCCTCGGCAGTGTACTTCAGTAGATCTCCCTGTTCTGCTCCCTATTCTGTCTCTAGTGAATCCTCTCACCCCCCCCCCACTTCTTGGCCTGTACCCCAGTTCTTGTATGCATAAATAAATAAATCTTCAAAAAAAAAAAGAGCTGCAGGTGGCAGCTAGCTAAAGGGGTGTGTGTGGGACCTGAGGAGGACTAGCACCCTCAGTTCCCCCCACAGAGAGGGACAGCCCAGCCAATGCATGAGCAGAAGGGGGCTCTGCAGATGTGGAAAGCCCCTTCTGAATGCCCTGTAAGAAAAAGACCGGGCACCAATGTGTTTAGTGTTTATAAGTACAGTATGACCATGACATGACCACTCACCTCTGTCCCCTGATTCCAAACACCTGCTCCTGCCCCTGCTCCTTCAGGAAGTCAGTGCCATGACATACTGGAAATTGTAATGTACAGTACCTGAGATCCTAGAGGCACAGAGATGGAGGTGGAGTCCAGAAAGGGGGTAGAAGGAGAACCAATTTCCCCAGCTGGTTTTGTTGGGGTGGGGAGGGGTGGAATGAGGAGAATCATCGTTTTATTTGACATTAGTATATCACAGTTAAACCATCACCACTATTGATTTCATGAACATGTATCCTTGTAAACCCTGCTGCCAACCCCTTCCTGCACCACCCCCACCATCCCAAGGTAATGATTTTCTCTCACTGTATATGAATTTATACTTTCTAGAATTTTACAAAAATAGAATCATTCAATAAATAATAATCTTTTTCATCTGTCTTCTTTCACTCAGCCTAAAGCCTGCAAGACTCATGCATGTTGTTATGTATGTTGATAGTTCATTCTTTACTGCTAAATAGTATGCCATGACCTGAATATAACATATCTTAGTTATCCATTTCTCCATTGAAGGACATCTGGTGGTTTGCAGTTTGGGGAAATTATGAATAAGAACACTATACATGGTGTACAAATGTTTTATATGGACTTAGAATGTAAGAAACTTCTAATAGGGCCTCCTTGGTGGTGCAGGGGTTAAGGTCTCAGTGCTGTCAAGCTATCACCAGCCACTGTGGCATGAGTTCAATTCCCAGTCAGGGAGCTAAGCTATATGGCGCAGCAGACCTCTCCTGTCTCGCCCGCTGCTCCCCTCAGCAGTGAATTTCAGTAGATCTACCTGTTTTGCTCCCCACTCTGTCTCTGGTGAATCCTCTCACCCTCCATACTTCTGGCCATGGCCCAGTTCCTGTATGCATAAATAAATAAAAATAAATCTTTTAAAAAAAGAACCTTCTAATACATATACTTCCAAATTCTCTCTCCTCCTTGTGTTATTATGATCATGTGTTTTACATTTAGATGTGTTATAAACCTCTTTTACATAACTATTTTTGCTTAAATTATCTTTTAAAAAAGCAGTAAGCAACAATGAAATATCTTCTCTTCACCCGTGTTGTCATCATTTCTAATACTATTCGTTTATTTGAATAGATCCAGATTTTTATCTGATATCATTTTTCTCCTGCCTAAACAACTTCCTTTAATATTTCTTTTTCTTTTTTTTTTATAGAGGCATGTTTTTTTTATTTATTTGTTTGTTTGTTTATACAAGCACTGGGTACAGTCAGAAGCGCGGAAGGGTGAGAGAATTCACCAGAGCCAGAGCGGGGAGCAGAGCAGACAGAAGGACCGAAGTACACTGCTGAGGGGAGCAGCGGGCGGCAGGAGAGGTCTGCGCGCCATGTGGGACCCTCCTCTGGTGGCCGGGGAGCAGCCGGGGAATGAACCGGCGCTACAGAGGCCGCGGGGAGCTTCGCAACCCAGCGCTCAACTGCTGCGCCACCAGGGAGGCCCTCCTTTAATATTTCTTGTAGTGTGGGTCTGCTGATAACAAATTCTTTAAGCTCTTGTATATCTGAAAAAAATAATTTCATTTACATTTTCACAGATTTAAGCATATTTAAAATTTCATGTTTTTATATATATATACATATACACACACATACTGTAAAATTTGCCATGCTGACCATTTAAGTGTAGAATTCAGTAGTATTGAATACATTCACACCGTTGTGCAATAGATCTCTAAAACTTTTCTTATCCTGCAAAATTGAAATTTTACATCTATTAAACAATAGTTCCCCACACCTTCTCTCCCCAGTTCCTAGCAACTGTTGTTCTGCCTTCTGTCTCTAAGCCTTGACGACTCTCAGTACCTCCTATAAGAGGATCATATACTTGCTTCCTTGTAACTGGTTTATTTCACTTAGCATAATGTCCCCATGTTACAGCTAGGGCCAGACTTTCTTTTCTTTCTCAGGTGGAATAATATTGTATGTGTATATACTGTGTTTTGTGTATCCATTCACCTGTTGATTGATGTTTGGATTGTATTTACCTTTTCACTCTTGTGAATAATGCTGCTATGAATATGGTTGTCTGTTTTTTTCTTTTTAAAGATTTATTTGTTTATGCATATAAGAACTGGGGTATAGGCCAGAGGTGTGGGGGGTGAGAGGATTCACCAGAGACAGAGTGGGGAACAGAACAAGCCGAATGACTGAAATACCCTGTTGAGGGGAGCAGCGGGTAAGACAGGAGAGGTCTGCTGTGCCATGTGGGTAGCTCCCTGCCTGGGATCGAAGTCAGGCTGTAGTGGTGATAATGCTGAGACTTAACCCCTAGGCCATCAGGGAGGCCCTAAACTTCTCTTTCTGCCTCCAGTGAGTTCCTCTGGTACATTCTGTTCATTCAGAATTCACACAAGCATCTACTGTGTGCCACATACTGTTTGGTACCAGACTCACAAACATTCTAGCAAGGAAGCTAGACAAATTTTTTAAATGAATAAACTGTTAAACAAAACTTAAGAGAAGAAAATTTAGAATGCTTTGTGATAAGTGCTGTGGAAGAAGTGGCCCAGTGTCCTTAAGATGCAAGAATGAGCTCTAACCCAGAATGAGAATCAGGGGAAGCATTCTGGAGGAGGCAGTTATTGACTTTGTATCTTAAAGGATATGGGCATCCCCTGGACAACATCCAGATAGGCACAGGGATAGCCAAGAGTCATTTTAGAACCAAAAGTTTGGTGTGGACTGAGCAGAGGGGGAGGTTACACAGTTTGCCCGGGGCCCTTACCTGATACCTGCCATGTGGAATTTTCTCTGGGAGGCAATGGGGTAGATCTGGGAGGGCCCTAAGGATATGAGTATGTGAGGATAATGATCTGATTTGCACTTTAAAAAAACGTTCTTGTTCCTGTGGGAGCATAGGTCAGAAAGGGGCAAGAGTTAGGGAAAAACAGGTAGAGCAGTCAAGAGGCTATTGAAAGAAATGGGGTGAAGTAAGGCAGCATGGGGTGCATTTGGAGATGGGGCAGTAGAAGAAGGAGTCTGTACTGAGCACCTGGGTGGAGGGGACCCCTTCACTGAGTTGGGAGGGGGAAGGCACAGGTCACTTACGATGGGGAAGATGAAAAGGAGGACAGCTTGGGAAATGGTAAGTTCGAGTTCATCTGGAACTTCCAAATCGACATGACTGCTTCTTCTATGAAGTCATCTCAGTTAATCTGTAACTCAGAGTGAATCTGAGCCTTTGTTTTTGAAATATAACTGAAAAAGTAAAAGCTGTTTCCAATCAGAACAAAGCTCAAGCATATGTGTAGGGGGGCCTCCCTGGTGTCACAGGGGCTAAAGTCTCAGCAATATCAAGCTATCACCAGCCACTGCAGCAGGAGTTCGATCCCCAGCCAGGGAGCTACCCACATGGTGCAGCAGACCTCTCCTGACTTGCCCGCTGCTCCCATCAGCAGTGTATTTCAATAGATCTTCCTGTTCTGATCCCCACTGTCTCCGGTGTGGCCAAATTGTTTAGATAGAGATCATCAGTCTATGACTTAGTCCCCCCTGTACACACAGGACTTAGGACAGTGCTTATTCTGTGGCTCACAATTTCTTTTATCTAGCTTGTCACACTTTTGTTGCCTTTGTAATAAATTGGTGATCTAGTAAACAAATGGATTTCCTGAATTCTGTGAGCCACTCTAGCAAATTAATCGAACTAGAGAAGGGAGTCTGTCAGAAGCACAGGTAACTTCTGGACTTGGCACTGGGGTCTGAAGTGGAGGGCAATCTTGGGAGAATGAACCCTTAACTTACGGGATCTGTTGGCATCCTCAGATAGTGTCAGAATTGAGTTGAACACCCTCAGGGTGTCCCCCCTGGTGTCTGAGAATTGTTTCTTAGTGTGAAGACGCTTCCATACATACTCACATTGCAATAGGGTCCAGAAACCCTTTGCAGGAGCCCAGAGCTGACTATTACGATTCCGATATAGACATTTTCTAATTCCCACAAGCCTGACACTGAGAGGAGCATCCTTTCCCCCCCACCCATAAAGCATAGCTGCAGCTAGAACAGTGGAAGCAGAGGCTGCCTGAGGAGTATCTCATGCCAACGATGCGCTCACTTCCCAGTGACATGCTCACCCCCAACTAGGTAGGTCAGAACAAAGCAGAGCAGAGCAGGCCCCTTGACTTCCAGTCCTTTGCCTGTCCATGTATCAGCTCTCCATTTATATCTAGCGGCTTGGGGACTTTGTCTAGGGCTGGCTCTGCCCTCTTGTCACATATCTCCATGATCATTTTTTTTTTTCCTGCAGGAAAGGCTCCAGTAAAATAAATGCAAAATGAACATCAGGATGCTCTCCCTCATGGCAGGCATCTTCTCTATTCTCATTACCATCCAGTTCCTCATCTTTGACCTGAACCAGATTATATTCATCGGCTATGAGGATAAGTATGGCATCTACTTGGACATAAATTCCAAGGCCTTCTTTTGGATCAAGATCTATAGGAAGACCATCAACAGCACCCTCTCCTGCATCACCATCATGGTCAGCATCTTGTTGCTCTATTGCATCCACACAAAAAACTATAAGGGCTTGCTGTGCTACACTGTGTGGATCTTTGTCTATGAGCTCATCAGCTTCTCCCTGGTCCTGTTCGTCAGTGGCTCCATCAAAGAGCAGTTCAAAGAGCTGATTTACATGCAGTTGTTCTTCCAAGTATCACGCATGGTCCTGCACTTCTTTTGTGTGCCCTTTATCGCCAAGCATACATATACCCTCTACAAGGACCCCAAGACTTCAGGCAAGATATACCGTCACAGGCATTCCTCTATCAATTCAATCGATTCGTGGGCACATCTCCGTCTGAGAACGATATACCACAAGTTTAGCTGACTATGTCAGGGAGAAGAGCAAGAGAGGGAGAGTGTACCCCAACAATGGAGTGCCCCTTTTCCTAACTGTCTTCTGTTGATTCTGCTTGCCTTTGGGAGGGTCTCAAGTTTTATGCACTTAAGTGCTTTTGGGGGGAGAGAGAACTGCTTGGATCCACTACTATCCTTGTGTGTTTGTGACTTGTTTCAGCACTGAATTATATACTGCCTTGTGCGAACTTAACCATGTCATTGGTATTTACTGTTGTCTCTCATATTCTGCTCTCTGTAAAGCCTTACTTTCTAATTTTTCTTTTGTGGGTTGCCTCACAGCTGCATAGTTTTGCTGAGTCCTTTTGGAGCAGTGCTCCAAATAGAACTTTCTGTGCTGGTCGGAATGTTCTATATTTGTACTGCCCACTAGCCACCTGTGGCTATTAAGCACTTGGAATGTGGCTTTTACAACCCAGGAATCAAACTTGAAATTTTATTTCATTTTAATTAATTTTCGTTTCAAGAGGGACATGCAGCTGGTGTGTGGCTACCATATTGGAGAACACAGTCATCTGGAGTCTCATTTTACTTGTGCACATAACAATTAAAGAATCTCTTCCTAGCTTCATCTATCACTCTGCTTCCCTCATACTTTTCAGAAAGCAGTTCCTCCTGTTGCTTTAAAGCATGGCAAGAAAGCGCCAGGATTTCTCAATGTAAGTACTGCTGACATTTTGGACTGTGCATAATTCTGTCTTGTAGGGGGCTGTCTTGTGCATTGTAGGATATTTAGCAGTATCACTAGCCTCTACCCCTAGATGCCAGGAGCACCCCTCACCCTTGTGACAACCCAAAATATCTCTAGGCAGAAAAGGGAACCCTTTTCACTGTTAGTAGAAATGCAAATTGTACAGCTTCTATGGAAAACAGTATGGAGTTCCTCAAAAAAATATTAAAACTAGAACTACCATATGATCCAGCAATACCACTTCTGGGTATTTACCCAAAAAATATGAGAACACTAACTTGAGAAGATATATGCACCTTTATGTTCATTGTAGCGCTATTCACAATAGCCAAAATATGCAAACAGTTCAAGTGACCAACAACAGAGAAATAATTAAAAAGATGTTTTATATATAATATATATGTGTACATATATAATAAAAAAGATTGAATACTACTCAGCCATAAAAAAAGATGAAATCTTGCCATTTGTGAGAACGTGAATTGACCTTGAGTGGATTACGCTGAGCAAAATAAGTCAGAAGGAAAAAGACAAATGCCACACGATTTCACTCATTTGTGGAAAATAATGAAAACAAAAACAAACCTGTAAACTTAGAATGATGGTTACTAGGGCAGAAGGTGGGGCAAGAGGGGAGGGGTAGAAGGAACTGATTGTTTGATAGTGGATGGCAAATGGACATTTGGTGGTGGGTATGGTGAAAAATTTTATCTTGGAGCTTATACAATATTGTAAACACTGAAAGCTCTTTACATACACCCCCTGATGTGCTTTTAATCCTAATGTTTCCATGTTATAATTGGATGAAACTAAGACACATTTAAGGATGTGATCATGGTCACATAGCAAAAGAGGATTTGAATCTAGACCATCTGACTTCCCATATGAGTGTGGTTCCCTGACACCCTCTTATTTTTTATCAAGATAAAAATAAAATAGAGAACCTTACTTTTGACAATACTTTTCCTTCACGAAATGTTGGTAGTGAAGTCAAGGAACACAGTTTTGACCACACCCTCTAGATCAGAAGCAAGAGGAACCGCACTTCCGGGCCTCCCTGGTGGTGCAGCGGTTTGAGCGCCAAGCTGTGGAGCTGTCCACAGCCTCTGCAGCATGGGTTCGATCCCAGCCGGCCAGGGAGATTTCCACATGGTGCGGCAGACCTCTCCTGTCTTGCCCGCTGCTCCCCTCAGCAGTGTATTCCGTCAGTCTGCCTGTTCTGTTCCCCGCTCTGTCTCTGGTGACTCCTCTAACCCTCCCCCGCCTCTGACCTGTACCCAAGCTCTTGCATAAATAAATAAATCTTTTTTTTTTTTTTTAAAAGGAGTAACCCCACTTCTGTAATTACTAAGTGCCAGGTACTGTTCTAACAATTTAGTTAATTCTTCCCACCTCTCTGGGAGGGAGATTTGGATCCAGGTCAGTTTCTAAAATGAACACCAGGTGGCAGTCAGCAATAAGCTTTTGCTTCACCCTGTTTGCCTTCCAAGCCGGATCCTCTAGGGGGTGGCTGGTTGGGATTTAAGAAGCCTCCAACTGACGACTGGGGACTAACAGTGTGTGTCTCCACCCTAGTCTCACAAGGCGTGCCTTGACTGGTTGTGACTTGTTGGTACCCGAAATAAACAAAACATGGGCAGACTTCAGATTCTGAGCCCTCATCCCAGCTGCGGGCCCCTGGGTTCGTGATGCGTAGGTTAAAAGACTGGAAAGCTGCGTAGAGCAGAGACAAGGAGATGCAGAGTTCCAAGAATCACTGCAACGAGAGTTACCTGATGCGGGAAAGCTAAAGATGCTCAGTTACAGTGGTGCACCCCCCTACACCAAGACTTCTTGAAAGTGTTTTTGTCTCTGCTTCTATTTTCTGGCCTCCCATTCTTTCTAGAGCCTTCCACTCCGCCAAGACTACTCTTATTAAAGCGATCATCCACCGCCCTCTCCCATGCTTAGCCTTTTCCCAGGGATCAGCTGGGTTTTGACCAGCTGATCCCTCCCTGTCCTGAAAACTCGCTTCTCTCCTGACCTATGGGGCACCAGGGCCACCACCGGCCAGTCACCAACTCCCTGGCTGGTCTTCCTACTCTATCTACCCAACAATGGAACCTTCTGGTTCTAGCCCTGTTCCCCCCACTTCCCTGGACTCTCCTCACCCAGGCCCATCACAGGTGGCACTCACCAGCTTGGGCTTCTCCCCTGACTTGGTCCTTGTTGATCCAATTGCTCCCTCGCTGTGGCAGGCACCTCTAATCTGGTTCCCAATGATCCTACTCAGCTTATACATCCATCACCTCGCCTTAAATGTTCCAAGCAATAGAGTACGGCCAAAGATGTCACCTCCAAGATTAGGTTACAGAAAGACGGTGACCTCAGTGTTGCTTGCTCCCTCCGGGGAGGCCAGCTGCCAGGTTGGGAGCATCCCATGGAGAGGCTGCCTGGCCAGGAGCTGACAGCTGCAGTCAGTAACCCCCGAGGACCCGAATCCTATCAGCCACATAAGTGGGCTTAGAAGCAGATCCTCCCCCAGTCAAGTCTTGAGGTGACCACAGCCCCCACCAAACATCTTGTCTATAGGTGCCAGACCCCATGCTGGGGTTTCTGACCCACAAAAACAAACATAATCAGTCTTCTCTTAAACGGCTTTATTTTGGAGCAATTGATCACTAACATAAGTTATATCTCTACATCAATGCCCAGTAGCCATCTAAACATGTCCCAATCCATGCAGGTGGTGGTCTCCCATAAACCTGCCCCGAGGCCCAGTCAGTCATACGCACCTCCATGCTTCCAACTGCCCAGGCCCAAAGCCTAGGAGTCATCTTCCTCTCAGCCTTTGGCCGACCCCTCACCTTCACTACAGGTGCAGATCCTACTCCTCACCTCTGCTGCACTACCTGGCTCAAGCCTCTGCTGCCTTTTCCCTGGTTATTGCAGCAGCAGCCTCCTACCTGGTCTCCCCAACTTTTCCTCCTATAGTCTGTTCTCCACCCAACACCCAAAGGGATCCTGTCAAGCCTAAGTAAGACAGAGTCCCTCTTCTACTCTGCTGCTCACGACCTACTGAGTCTCCCCACCACACTCAGAGTGAAAAATCCCAGGCCTTGTGATGCTAGGTGCTAAGTGATCCAGTTCCCTGTCACCTTCCAATCTCCTTTCTAGCTACTTTGTCCTCCCTCCTTCTGCTCCCAGCCACGCAGGCCTGCTTGCAGGTCCTCTTACACACCTACTGCACTCTAGCTTTTGCCCTTGCCAGTCCTTCAAACTGGAACATTCTTGCTCAGAAAGACACTTGCTCCCTTTCTTGTTTCTTTCAAACATCTTCTCAGAAGTCATCAGAGGAGCCCTCTTTGTCAATGTAGTCTATGTGAGAGCAGCTACTCCTACCCTGTCCATCCCTCCCTAACCCATTAACTCTGTTTTATTATTTTTCTCATAACACATGTTACATCTGACTTACTACATATGGTTACCTCCCCCATCCCCTTAAAAACTATGAGTACCATATTTTCTTTATCGTTGTCTTCCTAGAACTTAGAATAACACCCTGAACATAGCAGACGCTTAGTAAGTATTTGTGGAATGAATGGACTCAGACACTCAGCAGAACAGAATGGCCTGTGGTTTCTTTTTTTTTTTTAAAGATTTATTTTATTTATTTATGCATATAAGACCTGGGGTGTAAGCCAGAGGCTGGCGGGTGAGAGGATTCACAAGAGACAGAGTCAGGAACTGAACAGCAGACTGACTGAAATACACTGCTGAGGGGAGCAGAGGGTGAGACAGGAGAGGTCTGCTGCACCATGTGGGTTCCTCCCTGGCTGGGGATTGAACTTGTGCTGCAGTGGCTGCTGATAGCTTCATAGTGCTGAGACTTAACCCTTTGAGCCACCAGGGAGGCCCAGGCCCGTGGTTTCTTGACCTCCACTGGTGGTTAAGGTGGATGGGCTGGTGAGCGGCCAATTCTTACTATTGCTCTTTCAGCCTCTTCTTCCTATCCTTTTCTCTCATTCACTTCTGGAGTCTCTAGTGAAGATTCTAGAGAGTCACAAGTGGGGAGAATAAGACTTCAGTTTCCTTGCCCCTCTCCTCTTTCCCTAATCCTTTTCCCTTGCACTTACTGCGGACACTAGAAACACCACCTCCTCTCCCAGCAACAAGCCTTTCAAATATGTCCCTGGGAAGGGTTATACTCTATAGAAACTGCCATCCCCTCCTGTGAAGATCCTCCAGCCTTCCTTCCTTCCTCACTTTCTTCAGGATGCTTGTTGGGGGTCCACTGTGTGGCAGGCCCTGAGCCAGGAACTGTGGATTATCCTGGAAAGCAAGACACGGTTCCTATTTCAAGGGTGTAAAGGCAAGACAGGACACAGGGCAGGTTTTCTGATCCCATGCAGACCGGGTAAAGGAGGAGTCAGAGTCCTCAGTGGTTTTGCAGGTTTTTATTGGGGTTCAGCAGGTACGTGGCAGGCAGGGATGCTGGGGGGCTGGGAGGCTGGCAGTCCTCCCAGCCCCCAGCAAATCTTGACTCTATCTGGGCTCTCTGGCATTCTCTGCTTCTGCTTCGGGCTTCTTCTCTTTTGGCTTCTATTGCTGCTGCTGGCATCCCC